TTCTCATCGCATACTCTTCTGGAGAGAGCGGGGAAACCGCAATCATCCCTCGAACATCATTGAAATGGACAGGTATGGAGGTCGCGATGTTCTCGTTTGGGGAGGCATCATGCTTGGTAGTCTTACAGACCTTCACATCTTTGACACAGGTTCAGTCAACGGGACCCGTTATTGTAACGAGATTCTTCTTCCATATGTGCGTCTTTTTAGAGGCGCTATGGGGCTGCAGTTCCTTTTCATGGACGAAATTGCACCATGTCATCACACAGTAGCTACCGAACAGCTCTTAGAGAGTGAGGATATTGAACGTATGGATTGGCCGGCACGATCTCCGGATCTCAATCCCATCGAGCATGTATAGGAGTTTCTAGGCAGACGCTTGGCAGCTCGTACCTTACCACCAGTAACGATTCGGGAGCTTCGATTGGCGCTGCAAGACGAATGGGCAGCATTGCCTCAACAACTCATTGACACCCTCATTCTCAGCATGGGAAGACGCTGTGAAACCTGCCTAGCAGTTAGGGGAGATCATATCCCTTACTAAAGACCGGATGTTTCTTGCTGGACACCCATCACAGGGATGTATCGGCCTTCAGACGCATTGCGCTTCATGCTACTTTTTCAATCAAGCTTCTTTTTATTCCTCTGATTTCTCTTTTAGTAAGTGTTGCTTGCATTACACATGTCCTTACGTATTGGGGATCATACGGTATTAAATGTGTTGATTTGGAAAGCTTTTGTACAAAGTTATATTGAAAAAACCGTCTCGTCCTTAATTTTTGAACACCAGTATATATATATAGGCCAACAAAGAATTATTTTACTTTTTAATAAATAATTGCAATCAATATAGATATCTATATACGTATGAAAGTGATAAAAATTTAAATGGAAGAACACCTTTTAAATTAACATTAAAACTGAAGGAAGGAAGGAAGGTTCGTTCTGGATTCAGAACGAATGCGAGTACTTAACCGATCACGCCAAAACTGTCGTCTTCGTGTGATGTTGGTACTAGTTCATATAGAAATAACACCGTCACATACCCCCTGCCAGTGTTTCAGCGAATAGGCAAACGAACGATACCATATTCGTGGCGAACCTGTAAGGAGTTGCGTCAATTTGGTGGGTTGCGTCATCGTGAATGATGGCTTAAGAATTGCGTCATTTGTGGGAGACGGCTTTGAGAAGTAACGGCTTATTTGCGTCAATGTTTAACGGCTTGGTTGATTTTGCGGTGGATAGATGGCGCTATGACTGCGACTCGTGAAGGGTGCGGTTCTTTGCACGGCCAGGTCTCCAATGAAGGAAGGAAGGTTTGTTGTGGGTACCTTCCGTTCCGAACGAATGCGAGTACTTAACTGTTCACGCCAAAACGATCGTCTTCGCGTGTTGTTGGTATTAGTTCATATAGATATCACTAGACCACAAAACGTTTTAACCACATAATAATTGTAATTAAATTTTTTTAATAAGCGTTCAATATAATAGGTAAGAATTCATCTTAAAACCAATGTAAAAGGAAAGCTGATGTCTAACTAGCAAGTGATCATTCAGATTAAATTAAATCTTCAGCACAATTTTAACAAAAACTGTTTTAACCAATGGTGCTGCCATCTAGAGGAATAATACGGATTGAGAGAGAGAGAGAAATATGTCTCTAATACTATAGTTAATGAATTAAAATTTAATTTTAGAATTAATATTTGAAAAAACTGTATTAACAGCAAGTGTCATCCACTACAAGTTTACAAAAATGTGCTTTAACTTGAGTGGATGAATAAAAAGTATTTTATAGACGATTGAAAATTTCAATAATATATATATATATATATATATATATATATATATATATATATATAATTCCAATAATTTAATCTTTAATAGCTCTTGAATTATTTATTGCCCAGTTCTTCAGCACAACCCCGTGTAATTACTTTAATTAGCTATCCAACTACCGGGGGCTTTTGAAACTACATCCATCCACCTCCTAAATCATGTGATGTCCCGCTGAGTATAAATACTGAGATCATTGGATTTCGCTCTCTCTTCTGCTTTATATCTTTGTCCTTAACCATGTAGCCGGCTGCAATGCACCTGATATGTTTGTTCTTTGTTATGTGTTGTGTCGTCCATGCTTTATGTTTATGTGTTTCAAGATTGCAATAAATAGGATTAACTTACAAGACTGTCTCGTATACTACAAGAATATCATCTATTCGCCACGTACTACAGTAAACACTTTCAATGGTCAGACCCTAACATTTTGTTGTTACAGTAATCGTACACTCGCAATGACAAATAACACAGCACTATGGGTTTTATTATATACTAGCGGTCCTGACAGACGTTGTCCTGTACACACGTGTTAAATCCGAAAATTACAAACTTCTTTGAATAAGTTGTAACAATCTGGACCATTTTGATGACATTTTTTATAAAGAAAGTTATTACAATACCTGGCATCATTGCATGTACAGTTACCACAATTTAATCTATCGATTGCGTGTTAGTATGTATTTACTATGAACTAACAAGGAGAGGCCCCGACTATAAGGAAATTCATTTGTGGTCGCGACTTGATGTAACAGTAGTACTCCTTTAGGGTGTTCAACCCTCTATGTAATCTCGCCGAATGGCCAGTCAATTCGGAGAAAAAAAGCCTTGGAAATTCATGCTTAGTTTTTATATAATTAAATTTCAAATTTCCGCCACCGATTCCGTAGCTTGGTTGATATATTGTCTGCATACTATGCGCGAGGTCTGGGTTCGATTTATCGGTTAATTTTCTTGTTTTTTTCATTTCATTTAATTATTTTTAAAATCAAATAAACTTATTTATGAAAGCTTTATTAAATATTAAATGATATTTTATGTAATTATTTTGTATTTTATAAAGTAAAAACAAATAAGAGTAAATTTATAATTAAAATTATTATAAATTTATAATTGATTTTATAATAAAAATTATTATTAATTTATTAGTAAATTTATTATTGATTATTGAAATAATTAATATTTTTTTAAATTATTTAATTAAACTATTTAATATTATTTAAATTTATTTAAAAAGGACTTATTAAATGGTTTCCGAAATTATAAAATAACTAAATTAATAATATATAGAAAAGACATATTTTTATTATATTAATTATAAAATAATTTAATAATAATATACTTAATAAATTATTTTATATTATGTACAATATTTTGTTTATAGTATATTTTATTTCACATTATAAAACTATTTGTAACTAATTTTTATGTATAATATTATTTACTATTTAATATATATTTTATTATAGATATTATTTATAATTACATAAAATATCATTTAATATTTAATAAACCTTTCATAAATACGTGTATTTAATTTTAAAAATAATTAAATAAAATGAAAAAAAATGACCGATGAATCAAACCCAGACCTCACCAATAGTCTGCAGATGGTATATCAATCAAGCTACAAAATCACTGGAGGAAATTGAAATTTAATTCTATCAAAGCTAAGCATGAATTTCGAAGGCTTTTTTTCTCTGAATTGAATGGCCATTCGGTGGAATTACGTTAAAGGTTGAACATCCTACAGAAGTACTAGTATTACACCAAGTCTCGACCCGAAATTAATTTCCTTAGTCGTGTCCTGTCCTTGTAAGTTGAATATAGAAGCTATTCCGAATAGAAACTTAAACTTATTTTGATTAAAGAGTAAAAAAGATAAAACTCGAGCTATTTTTATAACATGTATATTTTTTAAAGCACAAAAAATACATTTATCATAATGCCATTGAATATATGTTTTTGGTTAATCCTTGAGGGGTATAAACATACAAATGCAATGAATAGCAAACTTCGGACATGCAACATAAAAGTGGTCGTGCTAAAATCAAGGGTTTTCTAAATCTAAACAACAAATTGTCATTGTCTGACCTTGTGACCTTTTAATTGTCATAGCTAATTGGAAATCGAAAGAATCATTGTGGGATTTGTGGTTGAAGTACAAATTCACATTAAAGTTTGCGCTCAAAATAGTGGCCTCAAGAATATATATATATATATATATATATATATATATATATATATAATATATATATATAATATATATATATATATATATATATATATATATATATATATATATATATATTGCCCATGATTTTTTTATCAACAAACACAAGCCCTTACATAATTTGGGCGCTTTTTTAACTAATTGCGATATCTGACCGAATTGTGAATCTAAATCATTCTCAAATCTACTTGAACCCCCACAAAAAATACTATCCAAATCGGACCAGCCGCTTAGGAGTTCAGTCACAAGCACACCACAAAACAATTATGTATATAAAGATTATTTGAAATGATATTAATAAAAAACATTAAAAAGCACATGGTTCGTCTACATATTTGTAACAATGAAGACCCGGTTTGGCCAGTTTGGCTGAAAATCGATTTTCTACGCCAACTTACGTCATTCTTATAACAATAACGTTGTTATACAACAATGCAATTTAATATTGAGTTCAATATTTTTAATGTTTTTAATTAATATCTTTTTAACTAATTGCGATATTGGATCGACCGAATTGTGAATCTAAACCATTCTCGAATACACTGGAACAGACACAAAAAATTTCATCAAAATCGGCCTAGCCCCTTAGGAGGAGTCTGGTCACATACGCACACACAAAACATTTTTATATATAAAGATATATATCTTTATATATAAAAATCTTCTGTGCGTGTGTTTGTCACTATACTCCTCCTAAACGGCTGAACGGATTTTGATGAAGCTTTTTATGTGGGTTCAAGTAAATTCGAGAATGGTTTAGATTCACAGATCGGTCCGATATCACAATTAGTTAAAAAATATTAATTAAAAACACTCAAAAATACAACTCAACATTCACCTGCATTGTTGTAACAACGCTATTATTATAAAAAAAATAATACAAAAAGAATTTAAATCAATTCCTACTTAGATCAACCAAGAAGTCACCCAGGCAGTATGGTAGCAATGACTCTCGGCTAGTAACCGAGTGGGTTCGGGTTCGAATCCCGTGTAAAACTTGGTTGTATCTTCTTCGGGAAAGAAGTCGGTCTTTGGCCTGAAATGGATTCCCGTCTCGAAAAAAAAGGATCGCACCTCTTCTTGTTATATGCTGGGATCATCCTTTGTAATAAAATCTGTATTCTTCTATGGTTGTATTATATGTTTCTGTTCATCTATCTTTCGTATGTATCCCAGTAATAAACACACGACAACAACATCAACCAAGAAAAATTTTTTTAGCTCATTTTTATTAAATAGTTGCAATCAATATAAGTATGCATATAAAGGGTGGTTTTTAGAGGTATAGAACTTTAAATTGCAATAAAACGACGATGTATTATTCCATTGACATGAGTTCTTTTTTATTCGAAAGATAATATTGTGGCATTACATTTTAAATATGATTTCTGGCATAGGGCTGCCATGGCTGGCTCGGATGTAGTCCAATCTGGACGTCCAATTTTCGATGACTTTTTCCAACATTTGTGGCCGTATATCGGCAATAACACGGCGAATGTTGTCTTCCAAATGATCAAGCGTTTGTGGCTTATCCGCAAAGACCAATGACTTTACATAGCCCCACAAAAAATAGTCTAGCGGTGTTAAATCACAAGATCTTCGAGGCCAATTCACAGGTCCAAAATGTGAAATTAGGCGGTCACCAAACGTCTTTCAATAAATCGATTGTGGCACGAGCTGTGTGTCATGTTGCGCCGTCTTGTTGGAACCACAGCTCCTAGACATCATGATTGTTCAATTCAGGAATGAAAAAGTTTGTAATCATGGCTCAATACCGATCACCATTGACTGTAACGTTGTGACCTTCATCGTTTTTGCAGAAGGATTCCACCAGCCCATAAAGCGCACCAAACAGTCAGTTTTTCTAGATGTAACGGTGTTTCGACATACACTTGTGGATTAGCTTCACTCCAAATGCAGCAGTTTTGTTTGTTGACGTAGCCATTCAACCAGAAGTGCACTTCATCGCTAAACAAAATTCGCTTATGAAACTCGGCGGGATACAACCCTTTTCTGCTGTCGCGCCGCTGCCTTTTCGGAGGTCCGCGGCGCTCGTTGTGTTCTTGGTTTGGTCACCCTTCTCGATGCGAACGGATCACGAAGTCGAAGAGAGTCGCACGCTCAGCGTGGCCCGACGAGCTCGAACTTTGCATCAGTCGAGGAGTGTTGAGGAGGAAAGCGAGGAGGCGCTTCTCTCTCGGGAGGCAGCGCAGCTCCGACGGAGGTGAAACCTGGTTGATCCTGCCAGTAGCATATGCTTGTCTCAAAGATTAAGCCATGCACGTCTCAGTACATGCCGCTAATATAAAAGGCGAAACCGCAAATGGCTCATTAAATCAGTCACGGTTCATTGGATCGTAACGCGTTACTTGGATAACTGTAGTAATTCTAGAGCTAATACATGCAGCCGAGCTCCGAGCGCCCTCTCGGGGGCAGGACGAGCGCTTTTATTAGATTCTTCCCCACGGTCTCCGGACCGTCGAAGTGACCGAAGCTGAGTAACTTTGCAGATCGCACGGGCCCGCCCCGGCGACGCATCCTTCAAGTGTCTGCCTTATCAACTGTCGACGGTAGGTTATTCGCCTACCGTGGTCGCCACGGGTGACGGGGAATCAGGGTTCGATTCCGGAGAGGGAGCCTGAGAAACGGCTACCACATCTAAGGAAGGCAGCAGGCACGCAAATTACCCAATCCCGGCTCGGGGAGGTAGTGACGAAAAATAACGACGCTGGACTCTACGAGACCCAGTCGTCGGAATGAGTGCGCTCTAAACCCTCGACGCGAGGACCCACCGGAGGGCAAGACTAATGCCAGCCGCTGCGGTAATTTTAGCCGGTAGCGTATACTAAATTTGTTGCAGTTAAAAAGCTCGTAGTTGGATTCCTGCTCTGGACGTAGGGGGCCGCTAACGCGGTCCACCATGCGCACCCGGCATTCTGCCCGCCGCTCCCGAGATCGTTGTCAAAGGCGGCTCGGGGTGGATGGCGGAGATCGCTTTGCAAAAATTAGAGTGCTCTAGGCGGGCCACTAAGCTCGAATAGTAATGCACGGTACGATGAAACATGACTTTGGCTCTTATTCGGTTGGGGCACGGAGACCGAGGTAATGATTAATAGGAGCAGACGGGGGCATTCGTATTCCGACGCTAGAGGTGAAATTCTTGGACCGTCGGAAGACGCACCACTGCGAAAGCATTTGCCAAGAATGTTTCCGTTGACCAAGAACGAAAGTGTGGGGCTCAAAGAAGATTAGATACCTTTGTAGTCTTGTACCCTAAACGATACCCTCCAGCGATCCGGCTGCGTACGAACGTGACGCGCCGGGCAGCTCTTCCGGGGAAACCAGAGTTCCGGCTCCGGGGGAAGTATGGTTGCAAAGCTGAAACTTAAAGGAATTGACGGAGGGGCACTACCAGGAGTGGAGCCTACGGCTTAATTTGACTCAACACGGGAAAACTTACCCGGCCCGGACGTGTTATCGGTTGAACAGACTGACGGCTCTTTTTAGAGTTTGTGGATGGTGGTGCATGGCCGCAGTTGGTTCGTGGGGTGACCTGTCTGGTTAATTCCGATAAACGGACGAGATTCTTGCTTACTAAATACGTTAATTCTTCATGAACGAAGATATTAGCTTCTTAGAAGGACCGTCGGCTTCGAAGCCGTACGAAAAGGAGCGATTGCAGGTCTGTGATGCCCTAAGATGTCCGGGGCCGCACGTGCGCTACAGTAGAGCGGACAACGTGCTTCTTTGTTCCTTGGCCTGTCGGCGTCGCCGACCGGGTGTGGCGCAGAAACACATGTGAACAGCCTCTAGTCTCTAGAACAATGTAGGTAAGGGAAGTTGGCAAGTTAGTGTGTTGTAAGTAGCAGAGCATCCACCACAGTGCGATCTACTGAGACTCATCCTTCGTCCGGTGACTCGGCTGGCTGCGCCAGTCCCCCCGGCTTTCGGTGCAGCAGCCGGGGGGTCGCGGGCCCTGATCCGAGTGGTGACGGACAGCAGGGGGGCAAGGTGTGGGTCGGGAGAGATGAGAGGAGGAGAGAAATGGGAGTAGTGATGAGAGGGCTCTGAGTTGGGAGCAGAGCAGAGTGATGAAGAGTGCGATGAGAGAGAGCACACTGAGGAGTGCGAGTAGGCATGAGAGTAGTGCGTGTAGTGATGTGAGAGAGTAGAAGTGAGGAGTGCAATGAGAGACGTCATGAGAGAAGGAGCGAGTGATGAGGGCTCCGAGTTGGGAGCAGAGCGAAGTCTGATTCGCGGGACAGACAATATGGGGCGGTGATGAAGGGCCTAGACCAAGGGGCCAACAGAGGAGAGAAATTGAAAGACCAAGTAGTGATGTCGTGGATAACTTTTCTCTTACATTACCCCCTACCCTAGAACGGAAACTATCTGTTTAGGAATCTGGCATCGTTAACCGTCAGCCAGTCGATGAAATAGGAGGCTGGTGGGGAACGCGGAACCATCAATCAACGTTTCGATCCCAGGGCACTCCCCTAGGGTACACATATTATATATGTGTACCCTAGCAAAGTCCGAGTTATATATGTGTACCCCAGAGCAAAGTCCGAGAGCTGACTCGGAAGGAGGGGAGGGCCGAGCAAGGCCCAAATTCCAGTATGTCGTGGATAACTTTTCTCTTGCATCCCCCTATGCTAGAATGGAAACTATCTGTTTAGGAATCTGGCATCGTTTACCGTCGGCCAGTCGATGAAATAGGAGGCTGGAGGGGGACGCGGAACCATCAATCAACGTTTCGATCCCAGGGCACTCCCCTAGGGTACACATATTATATACATGTGTACCCTAGCAAAGTCCGAATTATATATGTGTACCCCAGAGCAATGTCCGAGAGCTGACTCGGAAGGATGGAGGGGGCCGAGCAAGGCCCAGTTCCAGTATGTCGTGGATAACTTTTCTCTTGCATTCCCCCCTACCCTAGAATGGAAACTATCTGTTTAGGAATCTGGCATCGTTAACCGTCGGCCAGTCGATGAAATAGGAGGCTGGTGGGGTCCAGAGAGCAGGGGGAGTACATATTCCATAATATCTAAATGGAATAGAAGTTCATTATTTGCTTATGGTTTAGATTAATAATGGTGAAGAAGAGGAAACATAATTCGATAATGTGCCTGAAGATATGGCGGAAGACAAATAAAACGAACTTTTCATGTTATAATATAATGGAATTTCATAAGGTATGACACTTTTTAATTAAACAATTTTAGGATAAATCTAGAACTATTATTTTTTTTTGCTCACCTTCTCTTTATTTTTTAAGTTATCATTTTTATGTCTGGCGTATAACGCATACCCGTAAATTTTGATCTTATTTTTTGTATTTAAATTGCGCATTATACGCTTGAATATATGGTATTGTAAAATCCTTTTTGCGTATATCTGTATTTAGTCGAACGTTTTTCTTGGTGAATGGAAAAAACCATGTAGACATAAAAAATCCATTCATTTTAAGACATTATTTTACGTTTTCAGCACTTCTATTACATGCCAGCCCACTTTCGAGTATATATTGCATTTTCCTGCACTAACCTAACACGTTTTATAATAACGTCAGAGCACGTCAGAGTTACATTTTATGCTGATAAATTTTATGTTAAAATATATATTTTAATGAGATGCAAAAGTAATACATAATAATACTGTAAGTTTACCTTATTGGCCTCTTTTCTGTAATTCAGCATGCCGTATCGCGGGAGACGAATTGTTAAAAATGTCCTACTGTGGAGCACGCAAAAATAATATTGTTAGATTACGGAGAATACTAGAACCCCCCTGCAAGCTCAGTTTTTGGGCCCCAAACCCAAATATATACTTTGCGTCAGTTAAGCTTTGGGCCCTCTAGAGTCCCTGCCCACCTGGGAGTGTTTTACGCCACTGGTAGAATGGTTTGGCACGCCACAGCTAAAAATTTGCCAATGCCTGACGGATATACCTCATTTTAAACGTCTCATAAACCTCTAATTAACATTTTTTTAAA